TATATTTTTTCCTTGTTTATTCAGCAGATATCTGAGTACTTATTGTGTCTCTGGGGTAATATATTATTTACTTGGGAAAACAATAGCAAAAAAGAGCCAACCCTAACAGCTGTGGCTGACAGAGAAGCTTACCGTTATGGAAGATCAGGGAAGACTTCTCTGAGGAAGAGATGTTTGAACTGAAACCTGGTGGTCAGAAAAAACGTTAACCCGGAAAAAGATGGATGGGGATAGAGGCAGGGAAAGGCTCTAGCCAGAGGCCTCAACTTCCTCATTTCAGAATTGAGCTGGAGTAGGTAAGTCCAGAAGTTCCTTTTTGTTCTTACATTCCTAAGATGTGTAAACTAGAGGACACCCTTATTTTGTCTCCTTCTGTGATATCAGCAGCATGCTCATATGTACTCTAGTCCATGTTAAATTAGATCAAGTATACTACTTGTTGTAAATGGCCCACAAATGACTGCTGTTATGCATACAAGGTAGAGTTGGTGAAGAAGACGCAGATTCAGGAGACCAGGCACATCCTCAAGCTCTATACCTGAGGGCTTTTCCCAGAATTCCTGGCTACCAGTTTTTCAAGGCTCTAGATGGAGAGTTAGGTGAACTAACAAAGGCTTCATTCTTGTAGCCACAGTCTAGCCTTTGCTGTCATGTTTAGTCACTTATTTGTGCCTCAGCCCCTGCCAGCTATAGAGCCTGGTGATGGAGCAGCAAAAGAAGTTTGAGCTCCATGAGGTCTCCCCAGTTCCAGCAAAAGAAGTTTGAGCTCCGTGAGGTCTCCCCAGAGCATAGGTAGAAGGCAGAGTTCTCTCTTCCTGTCTCTGCCTCTGGCTGTGGGATCTAAAATAAGGGCATTGTTGACATTCTCTTAAAGTCTTTTTTATTCTAAATTCTGTCTTCTGTGATTTGATGGGGAGAAAAAAACAAAACAAAACACAAAAAAATGAACATGAGACAAATTCCAGAGATTTAGATTCGAATTCTGATACCATTTTTACTAAGTGACCTTAGACAAGAAGTCTTAGCTTCTGTGCTGTATTTTATTGATTTTAAGATGCAGTTTTTTTTCACAGTTTAACATCTCTGAAATCTAGATGCATCTTAAAATTAATCCCTTTTTTTTGAGTCGGGGGTCTCACTCTATTGCCCAGGAAGGAGTGCAGTGGCATGGTCACAGATCACTGCAGTCTCAACTTCTCTGGCTCAGGTGATCCTTCCACCTCATCCTCCAAGTAGCTGGGACTACAGCATGCCGGGCTA